CGGCCGAGGCCGCGGCTTCCCCCTCGGAAGCCTTCTCCCCCCCAAAAAAAAACACAGGGGGGCCCGGCGGGGAGGCGGGCGTTTTTTGCGCGCGGTTGCCGCGGGGAGAGGTCGAGGCGAGTCGATCAATTCGACGACGTCGCGGCTGCTGAGCGCGCCGGGGCCGAGCGCAGCTGCGACCGTAGGAGTGTCACTCCAGCGATGCTATTACGGCCCCGCAGGGAGAGGCGCGTTCCGCGGCGGCGACTCTCGCTCCTCCTCGGGCCCCCCCCAGGCCCCGCCCGGGCCCTCGGGCCCTTCGTGCCCTAGCGGCTCTGGCGCCGGGTTGCTGCCCAGCGCCGGGGCCGCGCGCCGCCGAGGTCGCGCCCTTTGTCGCTGGCATTTCTGCCTTGCTGCGTCCGTTCCCAGGCGCGAACACCGATGTCACCCGGTGGGCCACTGCTTTGGCCCAGGTTGGGCAGGGTGCTCGTTATCTCTCTGCGCGCCGGTTCGGGGAGACCCTTCTCTTGGGGGGTCCTTCCCCCGCCATCCCCGGCCGCGCCGCGCCCTCTGGCCTCCGCTCTCGAGCCTCCCCTCTCGCTGGCGTCGGGTAGGTCTCGGAAGCGTTGGCGGCTGAAGCGCGCCGCGCGCGCGCTGGCGCAGCGCGCTGCTGCTGCGCGCAACTGGTCAACCTCGGGGAAGCCCAGCCTCGCGCCCTCCGAGACTTGCGCGCGCAACGAACCTTGCCAGGAGGGCGCGCGGAGTCACATCGAGCGCCACTGCGCGATCGCAGTTCGCCTTTCCCGCGGTGGCAAGAGCGACTTGGGGCGGACGTTCGCTGAGTTCGACTTCGCCGAGGTCTCGCCCCATGGCCTAGCCGCCCGCGTTGCAGCTATGGAGGCGTCACTTCCCTCCTCGCGCCTGCCCCCGCGCGCCAATGCCCGAGCGAGCAGCGCGTCGTTGGCCTTCCCGGCGGCCTGGCATCCCATCCACGCCGAGCCTTGTGACCTCGAGGTCGAGGCTCCCCGCGCCAGGTGGGATTGTTCGCCGAGTTTGATCCCGCCCCCTACCTTTCCGTCGCTGGGGTCCACGATGCGTTATTGAACCCCCAGGTCCTGCGCCTTCAGCGCGGAGAGTGGTCGGAGGGGTTTCGGTGCGCTCGGCCCCATGTGGATCGGGCGGAGTTGCGGGGGTTTCTTCGGAACTGGGACTCCTGTGGAGCTCTGTACTCGATTCCCTCCTCGGACCTTTCTCGGGGCGAGGCGTGCGGAGCATTCAGAGCCCCCAAGGACGACGACGCTATGATTGTTTGATCCTCAATCCCGCGGTTGTGAGCAGCCGCTGCCAAAGCATTTCTTCCTGCAATCAGCGCTTCGGACAGGGTTTTGTCGCGCCGCACTCGCCTCGCTCCAGGCGCGCGGCCGGTGGTCTTACGCGATGATTTGCGCCAGTTTCACTACGCCTCCAAGGCGCCACCCGCTCGGGCCAGGCGCAACGCGCCGCGAGCGCAGGTCCCCCGCGAGCCGCTGAGAGTCGCTCAAGGCACGGCGACCCGAGCAGGAAGGGCTCGACGCGTCCCCGTGCCAGGACGCGCTCGACATGGGCGACAACGTGGCAGTGGAGATTGGCCAGCGCCGCCCACGAGGGCGTGCGGCGCAGTGTCGGAGCTCTGCGCCCTGATGGGGCGAGCAGTGCTCCGCTCGCCGTCTCCGCGCGGCCCCCTCGGCGAAGTGCCGACCTCGCGGCCATCGCGCGGGGCCCCAGGAGCTGTCCCGGGAGAGCGTGGCCCCGCGGCCCGATGGCCCGTCGCGCAGGGATCAGGTGGCGCTCGCCGCCCGTGGCCGCGGGCACCCGAGCGCGGGCCGCATCGAGGAGGAGGAGGAGGAGGAGGAGGAGGAGGAGGAGGAGGAGGAGGCCAGGCAAGCGCACCCGCGCTGCGACCTGCAAGGTCGTCGTCGGCGCCGAGGTGGGGAGTCGGATTGGCACCGTCTGCGCCCCGCCCGTTCCGACAGCATGTCCGCGCAGGCTCACGCTCATCCAATTGCAGGGGTGAACCGAAACGGTGTTTTGGCGATTTCGTGGGCCGTTTTTGTTTCGATGTCGTTCTTCGTTAAAGGCGGATTGAAGACAAAGCGAGGGACAAGGAAAACTAAAAACACCGTTTAGGTTCAGCCTTGTCCAATTTTGCAGCCGTGGTCGTTCGACGCACGCCGTGCTGGCGTCGCTGGTGGGGCGTTGGGATCAGGTCTTCCTGTATCGCTGGCCTCTTCTGTCGGTCTTTAGTTGGGGAAGCCTCTTGGTGTCGTCCTGGCCCCTGTGGCTCGAAAAGAGTGGGCAATCAGATTCGGACCCCCTCTCGGAGGGTCAAACATGCCGTATCGGGGCCCTCTTGGGCCGCTCTTGGAGCGCTTCTGGGCGTACTTCGGCCTCTCTCTGGCCCCTCTTGGGCTCGTCTTGTGGCTCCCTGGGGCCGTCTTGGGGCCACCTTGCGGCCTCTAAGGCCCATCGGAAGCGAAAACGGCGAGACCGCAAAGCACGGTAGTTGTCCTAAGGTTTGGGAGCCATTTTGGCCTCTTGGGAAGGTCTTTGGAGGACTCGAAGGGCACTTGAAACCGTCTTGGGGCCGTCCTGAGGCCTCTTGGATGTGCGTCGAGGGCGACCTTGAGCCATCTTGAAGCATCTTGGGGCATCGTGGAGGCCATCCTGGGCTCTCTAAGGCCCTCTTGGAGCCATCTTCGGCCATCTTGTGCGCTCAATGGGTCGCGCCCCCCCCCCTCCCAGGCCCAGGGGAGGGGGCAGGGGGAGGGGTCCATCTACCCACCCGCACGCAAGCCGTCTAGCTCACCCCCACCTGCCCTCCCAACACAGAAGTAACACCCGAGCCTGAGCATGTTCAGCGGTCGTCTTTGGATGGACAGCTACTGGGAATCAAAACCGACTAAATGTGTGCGACGCTGGGCGCGAGGTACGCCACAGGCTCGCCACGCGCGCCAGGCACCCCTGGGGCCCAGGCGTGCCAGACACGCCTGGTGCGCCAGATGCGCCACGTGCTCCGAGTGCGCCAGGTGTGCCGCACACTCCAGCCGCGCCAGGTGCGCCACGTTCCACGTTCGGGGTACGTGCAGAGTGCGTCAGGTGCGCCTGCGCACGTGACAGCACATCGGGAAACATGTCGGCCCCCACCATCCCTGTCGATCACCAACGCCCACCATTATGTCTGGTGGGCCTGCGCACAGCAGGCCAGACACCACCACCCCCGCCGTCCCTGTCAAAAACTATTTGACAATAATTGTGGGGTGGCCGCACATGATCCAGATTTAGCCGCGAGGTGCATCTTGTATTGTATTTGTTGTTAGGGATGGTAGCCTTGCGCACAGCAGGCAATATGCTGACACCCCCACCGTCCCTGTCAAAATCAATACAACGTGTTCGCGGGCCTCACGGACACGACTCAAAACTTTGCCCCACAGTGTATGTTGCATTGTTTGTTGTCTGGAATAGGGGGGGCCGCATCGGGTTGGCCGCGCATGCTCCAAATTTGGAGGCACAGTGCGTTTTGCATTGTTTGTTGACAGGGATGGCGGGGGGTGCAGCATGGGGTCGGCATGGTTCCAGGTTGGCCGCCGGCCGGGTGGGGAGGGGGTGTATACGAATAGAGAACAGTGATCAAGACACCCCGTTGATAGCAAGCCGTCTAGCTCACACCCACCCACCCACCCAACACAAGTAACACCCGAGCCTGAGCATGTTCAGCGGTCGTCTTTGGATGGACAGCTACTGGGAATCAAAACCGACTAAATGTGTGCGACGCTGGGGCGAGGTACGCCACGCGTGCCAGGCTCGCCACGCGCGCCAGGCACCCCTGGGGCCCGAGCGTGCCAGGCGCGCATGGTGCCATGGTGCGCCAGATGCGCCACGTGCTCCGCGTGCGCCAGGTGAGCCGCATACCCCAGCCGCGCCAGGTGCGCCACGTTCGGGGCACGCGCAGAGTGCGTCAGGTGCGCTTGCGCACGTGACATCACACATCGGGAAACATGTCGGCACCCACCATCCGTGTCGAAAACCCATGCCCATCATTGTGTCTTGTGGGCCTGCGCACAGCAGGCCATACGCCACCACCCCCGCCGTCCCTGGCAGAGTGTGTCAGGCGAGCCTGCGCACGTGACAGCACCAATCGGGAGACATGTCGGCACCCACCATCCTTGTCGAAACCCAATGCCCATCATTGAGTCTGATGGGCCTGCGCACAGCAGGCCATACGCCACCACCCCCGCCGTCCCTGTCAAAAACTATTTGACAATAATTGTGGAGTGGCCGCACATGATCCAGATTTAGCCGCGAGGTGCATCTTGTATTGTATTTGTTGTTAGGGATGGTAGCCTTGCGCACAGCAGGCAATATGCTGACACCCCCACCGTCCCTGTCAAAATCAATACAACGTGTTCTCGCGGGCCTCACGGACACGACTCAAAACTTTGCCCCAAAGTGTATATATATACATATATATATATATATATGTGTGTGTGTGTGTGTCAGGGATGGGGGGGCGCATCGGGTTGGCCGCGCATGCTCCAAATGTGGAGGCCGAGTGCGTTTTGTATTGTTTTTTTTTGATCGTGGAGGGGGAGCATGGTTGCAGGTTGGCCGCCGGGCCGGGTGGGGGAGGGGCCAGCAGGGGAAGGATGGATTTTGGCAGAGATAAGGCACAATTATTTGAACCACCTACGTCCAGATGGCTGGTGGGATTAATCAATTGTGCGAGGGTGTTGAACCCTCCACCACGGCAAAGAGCGGCCGCCTTTTTGTCCCCAGCGCCCTGAGTCGAGCTCCATGGCAGTGTAACCCTCGCGATTGGTGGCGCTGGCACCAGGATACGGTACAGGAGGATGTAGTAGGAGGAAGAGGAGAGGGTGGAGGTGGAGGAGGATCAGCAGCAGCGTTGGGAATGGTTAGGGAGGGAAGGGACTCGACTCGGAGGAGGAGGAGGAGGAGGCAGCGTGGTCCAGCCACTGTGGGTCTAGGAGATCACTCGGGTCATCGTCAACTCGCTGGGCATCCTCGTCGGCTTCTCATGGGAGCACTCCTTCGACGGCAGTGTCGAGGATGTGGCTCAGTGGACATCATCGCCGGAATGGCAACCAGAATTTCAGCTATTCTTGGGGACTCATGGGGGGGCCCGCTTTCGCTCTCCTCTTCCAAGTGTTTCTTCCCATTGCAAGTCGATTAGTGTTGCAGTCACGAGCAATCCCTCCAGCGTGGTTGAGGTTGCCGACTAAATAAGTTTTGACCTTCGGCTAACTGCATGGGTCAAGTCTCAAAGCTTTGCGTTGGTCTAGCTCATCGTTCTGCGCGCAGCGCCGACCCATGCGATTTTCACAGCAGAGATGAACCGGCAGCCAGGGGGGGGCATAATCATTATCATGTACTGGTGCGGAGCATCAAATGAATGTGTGAACTAGTTGCAGTCGGAGGGTACATGACTTGAAACACCAATTAGGGTTGACCGATGGGGATACCCTCACGGAGACACACACACACAAAACACACGCACACACACGCACACACACAACACAACACAACACACCACAACACCACACAACACAACACCACACAACAAAACACACGACAGTACACCACAGCACAGCACAACACAACACAGCACCACACAACCCATCACAAGAAAACACAACACACACACACACACCAGCCTCCATTTCTGCGTGCTGGACGAGTGAACATTTTTGTCATGGGATAGCATTCGTTCTTTCCCCACGATGGCCTCGGAACGGGCAGGCTGTCAGTCTGCATTCTGATCTTGCCCGCTTGGCGTGACTACATTCTGGAGAAGGTCTTGCGTGGCATGATGTGCACACGCGATACTTTCCGTTTAAGTGAGCCGGCAGAGTAGTAGCATACATGTTGTTCAGAGCGGGAAGTAGCGTACACGTTAGAAGATGTGGTAGACGGCAAGATTTGCAGATGTGAAAGCATTCAAGCGGGATACATCAGGTTCTTCTTGCCTGTAGCGCTCTCAGAATGTCATGGCCGGGTTTTCGTGGGGAACCTGAAATGGGATTTGCCCAGAAGAAGGAGTCACAGGAAAACAAGGAAGAGGATAGATCGAAGGAAGTAACTGGCACTTATGGCCGTGGGCGCAACACCGCCCACATATATGCTTTTGGAGTTGACGTCTGCGTGAGATGACCATGCTTTCTTTGCCCAGTATCCAGCCGTACTTCCTGGGGGGGCGGACAGGGCTCCATACAACACATGGCCGCGGCGACTTTGGACGGCTTTTGCAAAACGATCGTGTGGCCGCTTCCTAGCAGCCTGGATGTTAGAATTCCGGCGTTGGGTCTCGGGGTTGAGATTCGGGTGTGAGGGTTCGGTTGATCGGTTAATGTGTGCGGTCAGGTGTTTGGGTTCGGGTGTTGGGGTTAGTGTTTCGGCTGAGGGTTAGGGTTGGAGTATTTGTGGCCAGAGGGATCGTGTTCGGGTGTGAGTGTGAAGGGGGCACGGGTTCGCTATCGTGTTTGGGCTTAGACGATGTAGGGTTGGGGTCTTCATTGGCCAGTGTGGGGCTTGGGGGGCCACTGTTGGGTTTCAGGGAAACGGCTCGGGCGGTCGTGCTCGGGTACTCTGGGGAGGGATTCGGGGAGGTCCAGCATCTGGCCCGAAAGAGGGGGAGGGTCTCAGCCCCCCCCCCGCTGGAGGGGGGGGGGAGTCTGGAAGACGGATCGGTGCGAGGGGGGGGAGTGGAGGTTGGATGTGATGTGTGAATTTTCCGAGCGCGTTCCACTACTCGCGAACTGCCGGTTCGCACACGTCCGAAACACACATGCTTGCTTCGCTTCATGGATCGTACATCCAACGCGGCGGATCGAGGCCACTTGCGAGTACTCCAGATTTCGTAATAAAAGGGAGGGGGTCTCATTTAGGGGGGGGTCTCTTCCAGGCTATCTTGGAGGGCCTGGGGGGTCTGGGGACGATGTTTTGGAGGGTTCTCCCACGGGGGAGGTCTGAAATGGCTTGTCTTGAGGGTCCAGACCCCCTCCCTTTTATTACGGAATCTGGAGTAATGGAATGCGCTTGTCGATTGAATTCGTACGAAATTCCTGAGGAGTCGTACGGACATGTTCAAAGATCACGGATCCCCCAAGAACGCTTACGGAACCCGAAGCAATCCACACAAGTGCGCAAGAACTATCAAATCTGGACCATGTCGCAACATGTAGACATTTTCCACAGCACGGAGCACTTGATTTTGTTGGTTGCGATTGGTGCCAGTTATCGGGCTCCGTCCCGAAACGGTTGGGATTCGTCCAAGTTGGTCGGCATCCGTCACAGATGTGGTCCCTTTACCCCCCGCCTGGGGCCAACCAGCGGAGCACCCTCTCAGGCCAGTTTGCACAGCGGCGCTCTGCTAATGCGTTCCACCATGGGGGTTCGGAATCTCTCAGATTGGCGTACTTCTCTGGCGCGCATTAGCCGAGCGCCGCTCTGCTAATAGGCGCCAGGCAAGCGCAGAGGTTTAGGGCGCATGTTTTTGGGGACACTTCGCAGAGAGGCGTTCTGCAAATGCACGTCGGTGAAATCCAGAAACCTAGGGCGCATGGGTTCGGAACCCGCGGCGCGCTGCTAGTGCGCGCCAGGGAACTGCAGCAATCTAGGGCGCACGGTTCCAGTCCAGTCAGCACCTCGCCGCCTTGATAGTGCACCTCAGGGAAGGCCAAAAACGTGCGGCGCGCGATTTTGGGCCAATGATCAGAGCGTCGCTCTGCTGATGCGCGCCAGGTACGTCTGGCGATTGGATGTATGAGTTTCGTAAATTGTTTGCGAATAGCAAACTGTGGAACTTGAAGGGACCCGCGCGCACTCCACTCCGTGCCTCGCGACACGGAAGCGGATTTGCCACGGTTGGGAAGGCAGTGGTAGTGGTTGCGGTACGGCATTACGGTGATGTTGAGCTCCTCTAGTGACTTTTTTGTTTTTGTTTTTTTTTCTTTCAATTTACACCAGGTTCAGGGGAGGAGGATCGGGGAGGAGGAGGAGGAGGAGGAGGAGGAGGAGGCCGAGGAGTCAGATCTGATGTTTGTTAATGACTCTGGCTCTCTTTGGGCTTCCCGTGAGGCTGCCTGCGCATTTGGAGGCATCTCTGGGGCCGTCTAGGGCATCTCGGACCTTCTTAAAAGCCTTGGGCAACCTCTTGGGGCATTCTGAGGGATCTGGGAGCCGATTTTGCGAGGACTTTCCGCGCGAAAGCGCTGCTTTGGAACATGTCGCCAGATTCACGGCTGAAGTAGACGGACGCATTTCAGTGGCGAGCCAAGAGGGGGGAAGGCCGAGGGGGTGGGCCGCATCAGAAGGCTCAGAAGGCACCCCAGCCTTCTGAGCAGCTTTCCAGGCCTTCTCCGAAGGCACGGGCGTCTTCTCAGAGGGCCAGAGGGCTTCCGAGAATCCCCGCCGCATTCTCAGAAGGCCGGCCTTTCGCTTTTCCCCCCCAGACACGCCACCGATCATTTGCTGAAGCGGAAGTGCCGCCAAGATGAGCGGTTGTGGAATTCATTTTTTCGTGCGCCACGGGGTCATCATGATGACCAGCTTTGATCAAATTATGTGTGGCGTGAATTTCGGCAGATTCTCTCAACATCGCCCACCCCGCGTCATTGCATGCACTGAGTGCGTCTATCAGCGTCACGGTCCGCGTGCTCATTACCAACATACTGTTACGAATGCATCATGGGTCGTATGATGTAGGCATGTTGACGTGCAAATGATCTAGAAGTATGACCTTTATTTTGCCGCAAGAGGTCATGCTCATTGACGTGATGTTAAAGCAGAAGCGTGGCCTTGGGCCGATCGAAGGTGATGAGCACGCAAAGGCTCATGAGGCGCATATGGGTTCAATTGGTTTCGTTGATGTCCCAGCCTTGCTCCACAGTTGGTTGCGGCGTCCCTGCATACACTCTGATCTTCGGGGGTGCTCCCAATGAAGGTGATCAGAAAGGGAGGGGGTCAGGAAATCAAGATAAGGCGGAAGGATGAGGAGGAGGAGAAGTAGGAGGAGGAGGAGGAGGAGTAGGGATGGAATGACGAGAGGAGAAGTAGGAGTAGGAGTAACAGGTAGAATATTGGAGTCGGCGTCTGGCTTGCCTATTCATCTTGGAGTAGTGGGGCCGCCAATCGCGGCCTTCTGGCTGCATCCGACGAAGAAACTATCGAATGTTCCAGTTAGCCTATCTTCTTGTCGGAGCCCGAAATACAGTTTCTTGGTGCCCTCTTGGGACGATCATGGGGCCATACCTGATCCAGGGTTGGCTCCACCCTTCCCCCAATTCAAATGTGATCCAGCCTTCCCCGCTGCATGGGTGCGCCCGTGAGCCTCGCCAAGGCCTTGCGAATGGGATCGCTCTCCCCCCTGTGGTCGTGGCCCTGTGGGCGTAGCGTGGTGGAGGGTGCCAGTGCACCCCCCCCCTCCCCGTGTGGGAGTGGGGTGGTTCGTCGTCGTCGTCGTCGTCCGTCCGTCGTCCGTCGTCGTCGTCCGTCCGTCGTCGTCGTGGTCGTCGTCGTCGTCGTCTTCGTCGTCGTCGTCGTCGTCGTCGTCTGTCGGCGTCTGCCGGCGTCTGTCGGCGTCGGTGGCGTCGGCGTCGGCGGCGGCGGCGTCGGCATCGGCGTCGACGTCGGCGTTGGCGCCTGCGTCGGCGTCGTCGGCGGCGGCGTCAGCGTCGGCGTCGGAGTCGGCGTCGGCGTCGGCGTCGGCGTCGTCGTTCCTCGTCGTCGTCCTCGTCATCGTCGTCGTTGTCGTCGCCGTCGTCGTTGGCGTCGTCGGCGTCGGCGTCGTCGTCGGCGTCGGCGTCGTCGTCGTCGCCCCCCCCCATCACATCCGGGGGGGGGGCCTGTGAAGCCTCGACCCAGGATCACGTGCACACTTGGAGCCCTTCTGGGCCACTCTGGGAGCGGTTTTGGAGCCATCTTGAGACCGTAGAAGCCCATCGGAAGCGAACCAGCGAGAAAACATAAGCCATTGACATATGTTTCATGCGCTTGTAGGATTATGACCGCTCGGGAGCATCCTGCGGAGGCTACGTGACCACCTCGAGCCGTCTTGTGGCTGTCTTGGAGGCCCATGGAATCATGTCGGAGGCCATAGTGTTCCAACGTGTCCTATCTTATCTAGGGCAATCTTGGACGCTCTGACACCTCGCGGGGGCGTCCCGTCCAGACCCATGGAAGGGGTAGGGGGAGAGGTCAAGACACCCTCCCCGCTCGCAAGCCGTCTCGCTCACTCCCACCCGCCCTCCGAACACATACGTGGCACCAGAGCCTCAGCATGTTCATCGGTCGTCTATGGATGGACAGCTACTGGAAACCAACACACACCCCGTGTGCGCGACGCTGGGGCGAGGTGCGCCACGCGAGCCAGGCGCGCCACGCGCGCCAGGTGCTCCAGGCACCCGTGGAGCCCAAGCGACCCAGGCACGCCTGAGGCGCCAGATGCGCCGCGTGTACCACGTGCGCGACGTGACTGAAGTGTGGACTACGCATACCACTGCCTCCTTGAGCTACGCATACCACTGCCTCTTTGAGCGACGAAGTCCCTTGCAAGTCGCCCTGTACCATTTGAGGTCATTGTCAAGGCGTGGCTCGCGCAACAAGAGTTTCCTGCAATCGTACGCTAGGAGGCATTTGCAAATCAATGAGCTTAAGACAATTTTCCGTAATGTTCGTTGATGTTCAGGACGTCTTGAACAGATCTACAAGTCAGATTTCCCGACGCGAGTGAATTATAGACGCCACATGGAGGTGACATGGGCCCAGATGAATTTCAATACAGGACTCGAGGAGCAGCTGTGTGCCAAAACCAAGGAATATGGATTCGACGAAACGTGTACTGTTGAAGCTACACGCGCGAAATACCAGCCTGAGGCCATTCTCCCGACAGAAGTTGTCACCAAAGAAATGTTCGGCAGTGAGTACGATGCAACGGGCGGCGTTGAGATGGACCTGCGGCGACGGCATTGAATGGGTTTGGGACCGCGATGTGTTGCAAAGGCACTTGAGATCAAGGCCGCCATGTAGCCATCAACGAAACGCTGTCCAAAATCAAAACGGATCTTCTCCAAACCAATTGCCTTCTCGGCGCGCGTTTGGCACGGCTGGTGGCTGGTGTTTGGCGATTTCGTTGTGGAACGCCCGCCCTTCTTCCCGCCTGTCTATTCGTTTCACTTCAGGGGCGATGAACTCGCTGCGCCGAGTTTCGGCGTCCAGTGACGAACTTGCCACTTGTTTCGTAGAAGCCGAGGCGTGGAACATAAATAACAGGTTTGTAAACCCAGAGGGTGGAATACGAACTCCCCCCCGGAGCACCCAAGACCGCCATAAGGTATCCAAGAGCCCCCTGGAGGCGCCGAAGAGGACCGAGGAGGGATCGGACAGGATCCCAAGAGGCCTGCAAGAGGCATCCCAAGAGACCAAAAGAGGGATCCAAGAGGACTGGCCCACCAGCCAGGCGCTTTCGCGGGATGGGCCAAAGGCCACTAGATCTGTCGACCTATGTGTATCACAGGGGTGTTTGGCGTGCTGGAAGTTTGACGTTTGACCGGTTTAAAGCCGTCCAAATGGTTCCCAGTGGCGTTATCCGTCTCCAAGACGCCCAAGATGGGCTCCAAGATGACCTCCAAGACAGCCAAGGTGGCTCACTCCAAGACGGTCCCAAGATGCCTCCAGGACGGCCACGATGGCCCTAAGATGCCATACAAACAGCCCACGAGGCCCCCAAGACGCCCCAAAAGGGTTCCAAGGGGAACCTCAGGAGGCCAAAGTCATTGGTTTGCCTTTTGGTGCTTGACTGATGTGGCTGTTCTCGCCCTTTCGGGCTTCCGACGTTCCAAGACGGCGGCCCCATAGGCCCCCAAGATCACTCCAAGACGGCCTCGACAGACCTCCAAGAGGCCCGCAAGACGCCCAACAGGCCCCAGGCGGTCCAAGAGGCCTGCAAGACGGCCCCAAGATGACCCCATAGACCTCCAGACGGCCCAAGAGCGCCCGAAGAGGGACCCACGACTGCCCAGCCAGAGAGGCTCCCAATGCGGCCTCCGAAGGCCATACAAAAACTTCTGAGAGGCCCCAGGAGGCCCTGACGAGGGTCCAGTAGGCCCCAAAGAGGCCCATCAGCGGCCCCGCCAGTGGCTCCCTGGAAGCAACCACAGAGCCCCAAGACGGCCTCAGCAGGCCTCCTTCCTTCTCCTTTTCCTAATCCTGGTCCTCCTCCTCCTCCTCCTCCTCCTCCTCCTCCTCCCTCGCCTCCTTTCTCTGTTCTCTTTCGAGTGTTCCCCAGGGGGGGTCACAACGGCTGGGGGAACACATAGTCCAACAGCTTGGCCAGATTTTGGCTGAACGTTAGGCCGCATGGGTGTTTCCAAAAGGCAGGGGGTGGCTGTGGTTCGCTGTAGACGTGTTCGATGAACTATCCAGCAAAGGGGCAAGACCCCTGCATTCTCGACGCTTCTGCGCGCTCCCGGGAATGCCCGCGTGACGTTTGTTGAGACCTCGGGCGCGTGGCTGGGCGCTTATTTTGCCGTTTTTTATACATGCTCCGCGTGCGGATCATGTATTAAGATAATGATGAATTGTTGCATTGATTTATTAGTAAACTAATCATGTCCTAAAATCCTATATGTTTAAAAATCCTATGTATGAAAAGTTGCCCTTTACATCTCGACCATGAACTGAGATAATATCTGGGGCCCTTGTTAGCACTCCCTTGGCGGCCTCTTGGGCCGTCCGAGTCGGAAGCCCGAGGGACCGGAGAGCATTTCGAAGCTGTCTGACGTCGGGTAAAGTGGCGCGGGGCGCTCCGAAGTCACACGGGAAGTCTTGGAAGCGCCAGGAGATCTGCGGCCTGGGGCTCTTGAGGAGCATGCGCAATATTAAACACAGAGAATTCGAAGGGGGTATTCCACTGAGTGCCAGCAGCACGGCGGCGGGTTCACGATACACGGCACGGTGGCAGAGCTCATCAGGAATAGTTGTACCCCCCCGCACCGTGACTGCGGGGCTTAGAGACCATGTTGACGTATTGATTGGTGTGGCCAGCAGACGGAGGAACGAGGGCGGACGAATATTGCAGGCGGAGCGAAAGTGGAACGTACATTCTGGCCAGGAGCGGGTGGTACTCGGTCTTGGTGGCAAGTGTTGCGGCTCGCAGCGGTCGAAGATCACATCGATATGATTTAATGGCTGCGCTCATTCCGCAGGCCCTGGAGCCCTCTTTAGGGACTTTAGGGCCTCTAGGGGCCTCTTGGGGACCTCTTGGGAGTCTCTTGGGGCTCCTTGGCGGCGTCTTCGGGGCCCCTGCAGCCTCTTGGGGGGCTCTTGGGGACCTCTTGGGTCAGGAGGGGGGGTAGTCGATTGCGCCCCTCCCCTCAGAGGCCACGATCCTCGTGAGCGGTGTCGAAAAATTGCCCGGTCTGGCATCTCTGATCTGAATGTCCCGGGGGTGTCCCAGGGGTGTCCCGGGGTACTTTTCGTCCGGGGACCCCCAGGGGCGGCCCCGCGTGCGCGAACTAGAATATTGATAACCAGTTACCGGAGATCTTAGCACGCCCTTGGCCCGTTGGGCCGGCGAATTTCCAGTGTGCCAAATATTCGAGAGTTCTATCGATTTGTTTTTGTTTAGTGCTTGCATGATTTTGCACGTGACATATCATAATCCATGAGTGCACTCTCAGAGCCAGCCACACTGTCTACGTCTCCGCTGTTGGCCCTGAGTCTCATCATCTTTTCAGATTATCCCTCTGTTTTCCCCGGCCCCCTCTCCTCTGGTGTGCTCTTTCTCATCGCTTGCTCCCCCATTATTTCCCTTC